GAACAGAACCACTGTTGCACAGGAAATAATTTTGAGAATCAATAAATGCAATCATATCAAATTCAAAAGTGTCTGTCAAAAGAAGCAACCAGGAAAGCCACACCTTCTCCTGGCCTGGCAGCCATCACTCCAGTGCCTGGAGGTAGCCTGGGCCCTGATCTACTGTGGGAAGGAGAGCCATGCCTTCTCCCACCCCAGCCACCATTGCTCAAGCGCCAGGAAGGTAGTGTACCCCTGAACTCCCATAAGCGCCCCCTCACTCTCAGACCTCCTGACTGTGCAGAGGCAGAGGTGGTCATCAAGGGTATTTTTCTGAGTTCCCAATTTTGAACATCTTTAAAGAAAGGGCGTGGGAAGCCTGTAATAGAACGTTGGGGAGTTCAAACATTCAGAAGGTTGGGGAACTCAATCTGGGCCTTGCAGCCCAAGGTCAGTCAGTGTCATGGGGTTCAGCCATCAGCTAACTGAGACCAGGGGTCTAGCATCCTCACTCTGTCTGAGCCATTAAATGGCAAATACACTATATTGAAATTTTGTTCACTGCAGACATGTTCTGGACTGCTTCTTGATTTCAATTTAATTCAAATGGTTTAAGGGTGATAGACTAGTGACTACCACAGGTCGCCAGTTTCCAAGTTGTGCTTGATCTTAAGGTGCTGCTGATTGTATCAGTTGGGATAAAGCATTGATTTGATGAGCTGTTTTCTCTGATGTTATGAAGATGAAAATGTCTCTGGGTCATTAGAGACACAGAAGCTAGGGCGCAAACATATCAGGAAGATTTGGGTGATGACCCAGAGATTAAACCAAGGACAGTCCAACAACAAAAATAAAAATAAGAAAACACTTAAGCAAGACACAAGGACAGACTTCCAGTTCACCAATGGCAAACAGTAGGGCAAATAAGGATGAAAAGGCCAATAGTGAACCACCAGGACACCCTGAACTCAAAGCACAGGAAATAACAAAACAGATCAATCAGGCTCTAGAAAAATTCAAAACAGAAATAATTTCCTAGATAACCATAGAGATAGCGAGCAAAATGGAAGTCGCAATTCGCGACTCTAGAGAAGAAACTGACAAAAAAATAGATGAGCTCAGGACCACGATAGAAGCCATGAAGGCCTGACATAAGAAAGAAATGGAAACAATAAACACGCAACATAGGAAAGAAATGCAATCCATAAAACAGATTCAAACAGATATCCAGGAGATTAAACACTCCATAGAAAGTGTACACAACAGAATAAAAGAATGTGAAGATAGACTCTCAGATATAGAAGATAAGATTGCAGTCAGTGACCATGAAAAGAGAGGCCTCTTAAAAACAGTAAGGGATCATGAGAAATCAATCCAACAACTCCTCGGTGATGCAAAGAAGAATAACATAAGACTGATAGGAATCCATGAAGTAGCAGGAGAAAATACAAATGACTTAAAAAAGCTGTTTGCAGAATTAATGACAGAAAACTTCCCAAACAGAGGGGAAGAATTTGACATTCAGATAACTGAGGCATATAGGACCCCAACTAGCTACAATCAAAAAAAATCTACACCTAGACATATAATAATCAAGATCCCAGAAACCCAACAGAAGAACAAAATACTACAAGCAGTAAGAGAAAAGAAACAAATCACATACAAAGGAAAGCCCATCAGAATCACAGCAGACTTTTCAACACAAACCCTTGGGGCAAGGAGAGCCTGGAATGAGATATTTCAAGTACTAAAAGAGAACAACCTCCAACCTAGACTGATGTATCCTGCAAAACTCTCTTTCAAAATGGATGGGGAAATAAGACACTTCCACGACAAAGAACACCTGAGAAACTACATGAATACCAAACCAGCACTACAAGGAATTCTAAACAAGATCCTAGAAAAAGACAATGAAGGCAACAACACCATGAGGCCCAACAGAGCAAATCAAATAGGGAAGGCAAGAAATTAAAAGGAGAAGGTGAAAAAGTAAAAAGAGTCAACAAAAGGCCAATAACATATCAATAATAAGTCAGTATATATAAGTTATAACCAGCAATGTCAATAGCCTCAACTCACCAATCAAGAGTAATGGACTGGCAAAATGGAATAAGAAGCAAAATCCAACAATATGTTGTATACAAGAAACACACCTAGTGCAAAAAGAAGCCCATAGACTGAAAGTGAAAAGATAGAAAACAATTATTCATATGACAGGAGCCCATAAAAAAACAGGGGTAGCAATCTTATTTGCAGACCAAGTAAATTTCAAACCAAAACTGATTCTAATATTATTGATGTAGGACGGTACTGTATCATACCTCTAAATGTAAAAT